TCTGCCTGCCGGCATGTATGTATGCACCACTATAATCACTATAATGAGGCATGATGTGCAGCACCGCATTTTCTCAGAGAGGTCTGTCCTGGCTCTTCGGAAGAGTCCACTCTGGTGTAGTGCCTTCCTGAGAACCTGGGAGCTCTGGTTTGAGTGTCTTGGGGTGTTGTTTGTGGCGTAGGATTGTTAGGGATATGGGGCGGGCCGCTCAAAAGGGCCCTTTTCTGCATCAAGGGCGATGGGGAGCACAGACCCTTGCTGCAATATGGGAAGAGGTATTTCGACAACTGCCAGTACTTGGAGTTCTTGCTCGTGGATTCTACTTCTGAGCTCCAGGCGAATAGGCTTCTTGCTCATGCCTTCCTCGTACTGCCTCATCTGGGGGTTTTCGAAACTAGGGTACCCTAATATAGTACCCTAAATAGTAGGATCCTTATCCTAGTTTTCGGAAACCCTCATCTCACAGAGGATCTCCAGCTCCCGACAGTGTCGCCTAAACCCTAAACCCGAAACCCTAAAATCGTCGCCAGGCTACCCAGGGCCGGGGTTCTTGACGCCAGGCAGGAGGCGCTGAAAGGCTTGGCTGCGATCCTACCACTGAGGTTGTAGGGTTCAGAGTTCAGAGTGCATTTAGGAGCCTTCCATTATGATTACTACAACTTTATGAAGGAACCCCCAAAATAGTACAGGTAATTACTATTACTAAGGCCCTATATTATCAGGGTTCTCATGGGCCCGATAAGATGTTCCGGCACTGTTGCGCGTGTCCGCGGCCTCGTAGGGCATGAAGACTTGCTTCCTGACGCAATCATCAGGGGCGCAGGGAGTTGAGCAGCAGTGCCAGGTGACTAGCTGTTTCGCGATTACCATTATTACTATTATTTCTATTATTTCTATTATTTCTGCTACTACTATTATTACTATTATTAAATGTGCACGAATCCTTGCCGAAGTCCAAGCTGTCCCAAGGTGCAGGATGCCGTGCACTGAAGCTTGAAAATCCCGGAAACTGCTACTCGTAACCCAGAAGCCTCCGACTCGAACCTCGAACGTCGCTCTGCAGACGGTCAGACACAAGTCATAACAGTAATAATGTTAATAATGGTAATAATAGTAGTAATGGTAATAATAGTAATAATGGTAATAATAGTAATAATGGTAATAATAGTAATAGTAGTAATAATAGTAATAAGAACAAAAACAACCTTCAGATAGCTGCTTGCCGAGCGTCACGCGGGCACTCCTTCGGGCTGGCAGGATTGCAAAGGCTTAACAATGCCGAGAACCGAGAGATGAATCCATCGTCACCGCAACCATCAACCTCATCATCATCATCATCGTGAATTATAACCCACCCAGTATTGAGGAATGTCAAGGTCCTCGTCAGCCAACCAGATGGGACCTCCTGTGTCAGGCACAAGAGTAGTGAGAGTGTAGGTAGCGTGTGAGCAGAGCAAGAGGTTCTGGCATTCGGCCTCATATCTCCGCTTGGTTGGAAAGTCGCGATCAACAGGATAGTGACCCGGCCTCAGGCCGCTTCTGCTGGGCTCAAAGTTCAGGGATTGGGGATGGCAACCGCAAGAAGGGCCAGGCGCCAGGTGGTCTGCAGAGGTTTTCGTCCTTCCGAACGGTCAAGACTCGACAGCATGCTCAGCAACGAGCCCCGTGTTGTAAGCAGACGAAGATTACTTAGCACAATTCAAGTCGAAGTGAACACCGGGAGTCGACTCTGCAACAGATCTGAGCTGCAATCTTGTAACGTGCTCTACTCGGTGGTGTTCGAAAGTGCCTGCAGGCCTTCCTTCATTTTCCCAACAACCTTTTCTTGTGAAGCATGCCCAGTAGGATTACCAGAAGTGTCTCTCAAGATCTCTGCGAGCAGTTCACCGCCCGGCTGCCTGGGAAGGGGTCGGCCGATATCCTCTCCAAAGGAAGTCTTGGAGATGGTGAAGCATGGCAAGTTCCTCCGATCTCTGCTCAGTCATGAAAAAAGGGAAGTCAAAACCTCCCCAACACCGAGGCATCTGCCGATGAGTGGAGAAGTTGCCCAGATATTGCCTCAACTCCAAATACTCAGGGTAGTCAGACCTTAGCTCAAGAAGAAGTCTCCGTCGTCTTGGGGATGGGTGTAAGGCTCCAGTTCTACAATCAAGCAGGCAACAGGTTGGTCAAATAATGTCAAGGACATTTGCGGGAATTCATTCACTGATTCGTGTCCACATAGGCCATGAATTCGGTCTCTCGGTTCTCACAGGGCTTTGGTTGCGAGTCGCCCCCTCGTCCACGCATCAACACATGCCCTTCTCACCACCATTCTTTCAGGGTGCAAGCTTTGAGGTCATGCGCCGCCCGCGAGCTGTCTGAGTCAAGTGAACCTTGACCCCTCCCCGACAATGCGCACGTTATAACATCAGCCCCGCATTGCTTGAGCGGGGCGTGGCCTTCGAAAGGCACAACCCCAAACTCAGAAGTGTGCGAAACGTCGCCTTAGTTTGCTCACAGCTGAATGCCGGGGGGGGGGAGGCCTTTCATAACGAGCACGGTAACTCTCGTGTTCGCCAGCATGCTTGTGAGGGACTTGTGCACGGAAAGATCCCCATCCCGGCCCCAACCCCGTGCGTGCGCGTGCGCCGCTCTTTCTCCAGACTGTGTTCAAGCTAAGTTGTCGGCACGAGATCCATCGCTCACCTCCTGGAAATCTGCGAGTCAGCAAGATGGCCTTCCTTGCCGTAGTTGTAATGGTGAAAGGCAGTTGCGGATGCCAGGACTAGCAGCAAAGCTGTAGACTCTTGAACCACGTGACATCCTTGAGCCTCTTGAGCCTGCGAAGCGGAGGAAGACATCGCCACAGCAAATCTACAAGGAACCGTAGAACCTAAAGCCAGAGTGTCTCTCCTCCCGAAGTGCAAAATTGCCAATCCTCTGGGCATTTTCAGGTGCGAACAACGCGAGAGTCTTACACGAAGCCTGCAAGCCCAGGAGCAGTCTCTTGCAGCATGTTTTGCCCGAGTGAAGCGATGTGAAGCTTGTTCAGCCCCTCAGTGCCCATGGTCTCCGTGTCTCGCAGACTTGCCATGTGAGCTTCTTTATCCCTTGGAAAAGACATGGCAAAGGCCGCTTGACGAAGACTCTGCTATCAATAAATAATACCAGTGGAGATGCAGTTCGCATGCCATCAGCTCAATCGCAGCAGCTGCTTTCCTGTAGTCTAGACTCCGAAGCCTACTATGCCTCCATACCTCTCGAGGCTGTCGAGAGCGGTGCAGCAACTGAGCCGGAAAATCATTATCTAGCTGGCTAGCAGCGGCTAGCAGTTCACACGAGGTCATCTTTCGTTGCATTGGAGGAGTCGCTGTCATCGTCCCCCTTAGGAAGATCAAAGTTGGCGTCAGGGTGGCGCATAATACTTTGGCAGGAGCAGATACAGCAGTCTTCCTGAATCATCTCTACTATGAGTTCGATTCTGACTGCCGTGGTCCCGAAATTCATTACTTCACTCCAGCGCCAGTTCACATCACATTAACATGGCTTGCTTCTGATGCAGCAGCTTGTCTACTGGCACACTCCAAAGCCAAACCCACGGAACTGGCGGCTTTCCCCATGAAGCCCCCTCTCTCTTGTCTGTTCGAGGCAAGCAACAAATGAGAACTGCGGCAAGGAGTGAAGGCCCATCATGTCAGGTCCAAAGACGTGAGCACCTGTTCGCTGGAACACGGTTAATATTGATGGAATCTTGAGTCCACAGGAAGTCTACTCTCCAACACCCAGTTTCCGAACAGACTACTGGCAAGGTCTGCCAGGAGCTGAATTTGACCAATGCAGACGACACGCAGAGCTACACTTCGTGCCCAGTCGGCCTATCTTCTTGCAGCAACCAGGATTCTCAGCTGGCGGTGGATCCTGCCGGAAGGCCAAGTTCCATCGCATGCGCATTGCTCTTAATGTGGGACGTTTCTGCACACCCCCAGCGACCGTCATGCCTTCCCTGAACCCTAGGCCGCGAACCTCAAGCCCAAATCTCAAACCCTGAACCTCTGATTCCGCGAAGCCTAGACCCTTAAACCCCTGTCCCGCCAAACCCTTAAATCGCTAGAACTCTCCATTTTTCCAGACCTCCAAGACATCCCAGGTGTCATCGCTATTCGCGACGTCGCCTCGACAGTCTCTGAAGAGCTTTAGGGTTTTAAGGGTCTAAGGGTTTAGAAGGGGTTTAGGTTTGGTGCTTGCGATTTTAGCGGCTTAGGCTTTGCCTTTTGGGAGTTTAGGGGTTGTGCGATCACGTTACTGCTTTCTTAATAACGTGTAGATATATCATGCTGAAGGCAGTAAGAACAAGAGGAACGATGTTAAAATGATAAGGAGCATAGAAACCATGATAATGAGAGTCTTGTACAGTCGCAAAACAGCAAGAATGAACAACAATAGCAACAATAGTAAACGCGAAGCTTTAGATGTTTTAGATTCAGGGGCTCCAACAGTTTTTACACCGCCTTTTCACCCTTGCTGCTTTGCTCTCCCAGCAGAGTGGTAGGTACCGGCCTGTGATCTCCGCACCCTTGCCCAGAATGATGTCCTCAGGGTTTGCAGTAAACTCTTGGTCGAATCCCTGGTCCATTATGTTTGGCACGCTATGCATCGCTGTTCCCAGCATCTTCCACGTACAGCGATCACTGTGTATACATAGGCACACCACTCTACACCAACCCAGCTTCCCATTCCCTCCCTTATGCCGGGACTGGGAGATGGATCATGCAACTACGCGGCTCGCTGACCATCTCTGGCACAGCTCCTGCTACGGCTATTATTCGTCTTATCGCTAGTCCTCCTCCTACGTGCGGCTACTGCCACTGCTACCACCACTACCACACTCTAGATCCGCAAGGCAGGAGAGCTAAGTGACTTAGTCTTAAGACGGCTAGGACCCGGGAGTTCCGAATGCCCCATGGTCCTACGAACGCAGGAGAAAATACCCATGGATATGCATATATGTGTACATATATCTATATAGAGGGTTTTGGGTTCTGGGTTACGATACATATATATATATACATATAGATAGATACTGAGGTGCCCACCATGATCGCTCGCAGCTGTGAGACCTGTCGTCCCAGGAGACGAGACTCACCAGCAAGCCGCAAGGCTCAGAATGTAGGGGACTTAATCCTTTAACGGGGTGTGCAAGGGCTGCTATAACGGCTATCATCAGGATTTAGTATAGTTGCGTAAATAGTTAGAATAGGGCTATGGGGTATATTTTGCTATGATTATAATAAGGAGCCGCCAAGATAGTGTTGGTAATTAGTTAGGCCCCTATAGTAAAACCAGAACGCGAGCCAGCAGCACCCACGGCTCATCCGAGACTGTGGACCACTGGTGATCGACCTTAGCTCAGCGCCGCGTTGCACATCTTGCCGTAGCCTCTCCGGTGGGCCGATTTTGAGGTGCCTGCGGCTTCGAGGGTAACACGCGATCCTTCTTCAAGGAGGCAGCCCTCTGGTGCCGACCAACCTGACAGGATAGCATGCCCCATGCATCGAACCCCTTCACGCAGGGCCATGGCTAAAAACGAGCAGTTTCTGTTGACTTGCAGCAGTGGAACACTCATCATCCAGTTCTATCTCCTCCCCAGAGGCGTCTTCCACCATCACAACTCGTGCGCCTTCACAGCAGCAATACTTCGCGAATTGCGCGCAGGCTCTGCCTACGCACTCTGGCTCAGGCCTGGCCTTTCGGAAGGGAGTGCTGCGAAGATGTCTTCCTCAGCAGAAAGGCTGCTAAGCGCTGCCATCATGCAATCTAAAGACTATGGCACTGCGCATTACCCTATCATGTACTATAGTAAAGCAGAGTTTACCACCATGCAAGCCGAAGAGGTTGCTGGTTCGTCGTATGGCTAACCAGTAGCATAGCTTCGCTTGCAGCTGAGCATCACTCTCAAGTATCCGCTGCGAGCGCAGAGGCGTATGGCCGGATCTTGCACGGTGGCCTTGACCCTGAGGCCATACCTAAAATTGTCTGCTGCGAGGTTACTATAACGATTACGAGGGCTACCGTGCTACAAGGATAGCATCCGAGGTGACACTCCAGGAACAGCCTCAAAGCACGGGTTGTCAGACTGAATCCTCAAGCAAACCTTTTCACATCCAAGCCGCTTTTCAGCCTCTGACAAATAGCCCCTTGTCCTTTGTCCTTACAGTAAGCATGTAGCTCTTTATTGTAGCCCTATAAGTCCTTACAGTAGTCCCTGCGGTACTTCTTATTGTAGCCCTTGTCGAAACCCGAGCCTTTCCTGATATCTTCGGAGAAGAAGTCCCTGCATTCATCCAAGCGGCGGCTTCTGAGACACAGAGAGCGCCTTTGTGCAAACTCGGAGCCCAATCAGCATTGCAGATAACGGGGGCAAAAGCCCATGATTTGCAGCCTGTAGCCGCTGCAAGTCGCAAGAGAAGCTGTGGCTCTCACTGCTGGATAGATCTGCGTGAACTTCGGCATAAAAACCTACAGAGCGTTGTGAGCAGGAGGCTCTCAGGGCAGCTCTCGTCGAGACTTGGGGCACTGACGAAGCCGAAGCCATCGATGGGTGGGCCCAGACCAGGCCAAAAGGGAGGAGCCCGAGATCTCGTCGTGGCCTTGGCTTTGGAGGGCTCTGCGACCAAAGGCCCCCACGGTCAGCTGCTGGGTTCCGGGCATAGGACTCCAGGCTGCTGTGCGCCAGGCTCGAGATCGTGAGACCGGCGTGGTGGCCGAGCCACTCCTCGTGAATTGTCCGGGGTCCGGTTCTTTTCAGCTACAACTGATTTTCACAAGCCTGCGCCGACCCCTGCCCACTTGTGAAAGCACGTGCGTGGCATGGAAGCATCGAGGCGCTCCTGGACGTGCATACATCGAAATCCGAAGGTCAGTGGACCTGTCACAGCTGCCCTCAAACAGACTCTCACACAAAAACTGGGCAAGAACCACGGTGCGCAGCCGCTTGAGTACTGAAGCCGCGCGGGTGTCCGCGCTGACAAGGCTTAGGCATCTTTCGTCGCTCACTTTGCTGCACCGCGCCTAGAAGAAGTCCACGCAGGCTCAATGGCTTTGGACACCGAGCTCGGGCGACATGCAGTCTGGAGTCAGTGATCACCATCCTCGCGCGGGAACAAGATCAGGATTCTCACCCTGATGTTGATGATGAGGATCAGCAGGGAAGTCGGCGTGAATTTGCACCGCCACGAGGACGGGCATGACGAGTGGGATGATCATGCACATGATCTATGATGATGACGATGATGGTGATGATGCTTCTAACTCATCACCGTGTTCCCTCTGGTTGGTCCTAGTAGTAGCAACAGCCGCAGCTGCAGTGGTAGTAGCAGTGGTGGCAGTGGCAGTAGCAGTGGTAGCGGTGGCAGTAAGCGGTAGTAGTTTCAGCCGTGTAGAACAGGAGCGACATCCCAACGGCTGTTGCACACGAAGCTTTTAAAGAACCTATCGAGATGACTCTGGACTGAAGGATGGACTGCTTCGTGAGATTAGTCTTGCTGCCAGCGAGCAATGAGGTGTAGTCGAAAGGGTCCGTGAAATGGCCGACACAATTCAACCTGAGCAGGAGACGTTGCATCAATCCTTGTGGAGTCGCCTGGCCACACAGCATCTAGCATTTCTGCGTTGTGCTACACGTGCCACTCTGCACAAGTATATGTGTTGTAGATGTATATGTAGACGTAGATGTATGCATGTGTGTATAAAATGAATCTATATATATATATATATATATCTTATAGGTTAGTATCGGTGCATGAGTTCTGTCGTCATGTCCTGTTAGACACACCGTATGACTATTTCGAACTCACATTCAGAGCCGTTGCGTTCAAAGTAACTTCCGCTCCCAAATGAGATTTTCATCCGGGAGAAGCAGGTCGTCTATCGCCGTGATCCCGAAGATCTCAGCCGTTCCCAAGCAGCAAGCCTTGGATGGGGGGTTCAGGGTTAGGCATCAAGACATCCAGTCATTTGATGTATGTATACCATCCCATTATGAATATATGTGATACTACTATACATATATATATATATATATATTCTGCACCATAACCTGAACAACCAGACGCGGCGCTCGAAGGCCCTGTGTCTTTTTCGCCTCGATCATCTCGCTCAGTGCCTGAGCAATAATTAGCTCCCATGAGACACAACAGGCGATGCTATGCTGTAGCGAGGTACAACATACTACATGCATGTGTGGCGCCTGGTCATCTACACTACACACACGCACAAAGATGGAGATGTAGATATGGATATGCGTCTGCACGGCAGATGCCGCATGCACGCCCATGGCTCCAGTCCGCGAGTAAGCATCCGGCTCGGTACGCCACCACGGCCTCGCCGTTCGTGCGTCGGACTTGTAGCAGACCATGCTCTCCTCTAGGGCTTTGGGAACTAAACTTGACCAGGGTACTGTAGACTGGACCAGACTAGACTAGACGAGGCTAGACTATACTGGACCAGACTACATTTGCCATTGAATAGAGTAGAAGTCTTCATCTGTATCAGAGACTGCTGCTCCATTAAAGTTCGGGAACCCTAGGGAGCAATCTGGCTCAGGCTCAGGGATGGGTTTAGGACCCTTAACTAGTACGGAAGGTCCCAAAGCCTGTTTTACTCTTGGGGCTCGGGCAGCTCCTCGAACAGACACGGTTCCTCTTCGCCAGGGATCTCTGCGCCAGGCCCTGAAGTTTGATCCAGCCGCTGCGATGCAAAGGCTCTCAAGTCGGTGGAGGGCTTGAACCCGGAACCCAAAAGGCCGAAGCCCTAGACCCCCAATGTTGCGGGAAGTGCGGGGAGGGCTTGAACCCTGAACCCCAAATGCCTCAGCCTTAAACCCGCGATGTTGAGGGAATTGCGGAGAAGTTGCCGGATCCAATCGGCCCAGATGGGTTTCAGAGGCATGTCCAGCTGGACATACACGGCCTGTCACGGGCCAGCTTGTGCTTCAGTCTATAATAGGGCTACTATTAAGCCCCATATCTATATTATAAATATTATCCAACTGTTACTGAGAGAAAGCAGTGCTAAGCAGTACCCAAACGATGGTAATGAAGATTGCGGATGAGAGTTTCGTGCGGAGGGCCAGTTGAGGTCCTATGTAGGGTTCAAGAAGATTATAATCAAGGGCAGGCCGAGCAGGCTTGAGGAGGTGCAGGTGGCGGAGATGATAGCCGAGAATTTTTTCAACTACTTGATGATACTACCTAATCATTATAGATATAATCAATCTGCGGCTAAGTCACTAATCTCCTGATTGTCTCATGACTCGGACTTACTTACACGCTTCGACTTGCTGGCTGCTTAAGTGGTACCACTATACCCATGCTTCCTGTTTCGCGGCAGCAGTAGCAGCAGCAGTAGTCAGGATCGCAGCCGATGTAGAGAGACCAAACAACAGCAGTGGTAACATCAGCAGAAAATGCCTCCCATGCGGCCAGACGCAATCGAGCCTTCCCGACAACGAACATGTCCAGCCGGAGGTCCGTGCCGCCAAAGAAGTGGGGGCAAATACTGAGACACCAGAACTCTACACGGTTCCAAGCTTAGCTTTCCCAACTTTGCATGACTCAGCGTGGATCTCAGAAGGTAAGATCGATACAAACCCAGTCCGGTGGGCGGTGTTCTGGACAGCTGAATGACTCGACCAGTGTTGGTCGTGACCTCAGTTTCGCTCGCAGCTACGAACGCCCAAGCGACCTTTCAATCTCTCAGGCTCTTATAAACTGATCTCCTGATCTCTATCTCGACGGGCTCGGGGAAATGTGCTCCCACCTTCAAGCAGTGAGTACCTGGACATCTCTCAGGCTCGGGCACACAAGCACTGCAGCTCTGAGCGGAGCTTGAAGTAGACGTAGGCCAACAAGGAGCCTGGAACCTGAGCTGATGTAGGGCCTTCATACTTAGACTAGGGCGCTGGGAAGCTATACAGGGTCACTGCCACTAAACCATTCCGGCTCCTGTGTTAACTACCCCCACTGCCACACAAAAGCACCTCCATACCCGTCCGAGGCACGACGAGGTAGAGGAAAGCCCTTCAGTGTAGCACATGGCTCTTCCACGCTTTATGCAACCTTCAGTCAACAAGCTCTACCCGGCCTCGCAGCCTTCGCTTGCATGAGGTCCTTGGATCCGCAAGCCAGCTGCACTCTGCAAAACCATGGTCGAAGGAGCTGAGAAGAAGATGCTAGCTGAACCGCTAGGCAGCTGGGACCAGAAATTCCCACATGAACACGCAAGCTCGCGCAGATCGTTTGAGAAGGATTTTCAGAAGGGCTTTGGGCCCCTTCAAAGGCGCTCGAGGTACTGCAGGCGCCAGCAACGGGTGAGTCTTCCGACTTGTCAGGGTCCGAGATGCCGGAAGTAGCCATTCTAAGAGCGCGATCCCGAAGCCATAGAGAAACACCTGAGCTCATGTCTGCGATTCAGAGCCTAGGACTGCAGAATCGTCGCAGAGTGGGGCGAAAGCTTCGGCGAATTGCCTAGAACTTGGAAACCATTCCCATGAAAACTACGACGAAGCCCGCTATGTGTAGCATCCAGCAACTCAGGTCCGGGCGAAGACGAGAAAGCTCCACAAGCTGTGACGTTGAGTTTCCTTTGACGCTCTGACCGCAACTCCACTGGGACGGGTAAGCACGGGCAGTCCAACCCAAGAGAGACACCTCATCAAGAGCCCTCAAATCCCCTGAATGCAAGACGCCGCCGCAGTGCCAAAGGATCTCCCTGCAGCAAGATTCGTTCCAGACAGCTGCAACCTTCTCTCCAGGTGCCATTCCCAGCAAGCGTTTGTCTACATAACCTCGGTTCGACCCGTCACATGTGGCGATTCCAACACTGCGCCATGTGCCTTGTGGCCGGGGGGCAGTGTTGTCGCGAGCTGTCGACCAAGTCGTAGGTGTCATAGTCTTGGCACTCCACAGGCCTTAGCTTTGCCAGCTGCCAAGGTCTTTTGCTGACCTTTGACCGTCGAGTCTTGAACAAGGAGGATGCTCTCGCCATAGTGTACCAGTCTGATCTAGCCATGAAAGCGTTGGTAAGGAAACTTGCTTGCACCCACACCTGACCTATGCTGTTTACCTAGTCACTTGCAACCCGCTCCGCCCGCCCTCTCACCGAGTCCATCAACCTCATGGCGTACCCAGCCATTTTGCGGAGACTTCAGCCAGAGCGGAACATGGACGACCCATGCTCTATCAAGCTTGCAGCGTCCAGCTCCACCCCCCATCTTTAGATGAGCGACTCCACGCTGAGATTGTCCTCAGTGACAATAAATGGCAACGGTGACACTCGCAAGTACCATAATGCCAATTCATTGTTCAACAAGGGTTTGCACGATACAAGGCACACCGCACAAGGGTCACCAACCGATATATGCTCAAGCTTTGACAAAGGTTCTCGATGCGTAAGTCCGGTTGTAACCTTTGCCGAAGATGCGGCAGCATCATCCTGTGCAATCTTGGATGAACCGCTACACCGGCCGTAGGACAGCTCGAAGGACGCTTCTACTGGTGCGCCTCCATGTCTTCCCAGAAGTCCTTTGCGCCAGCGTCTCGTTGGCGATGCCGGGAATGCACATCCTCTCACGCATGGATCATAGGTAAGGAGCTCATAGTCGGAGCGACAGTACAGTAGCAGCTGAAGAGTGGATGTAACGGAATCCGCAGAACCGAAGAAAGTGCTGAGGCGAACGTCTCCGACATTCTACAGCAGCAACGCATAGATTTTTTCAGTCGGGGAGCCCAGCAGCTTCGGATGAACTGAAGGTATGCCTTGTCAGTCGGAAGCTCTTCCAAGCATTGACAGGATCAGTGACCGAGTTGTCTGCATCCGAGCTTATTTTATCGGCCAGGATGCTGCCTCGCGGTCGTCGAATCCTGATCAGTCGTGCGCGTGCAGCAGCTGATGACATAATTCTACCTCTCCAGCATCGCCACCATCGCACTCACATCAGGTAGACATGAACCCCTCAGCCGCGCCTGCTGGGTTCGCAGGATCACGAGCAATGCCCTGCAACCAGTGATTAAGCTTGATGCGCGCAGAGGGCCCTGGACTCTAGAGTCTAAAGCCTTTGCGGACGATGGAAGAGGACTGCTCACGACGACGAGTACCACGACGACGACTGCTGCTACTGCTACTCACCGTACAATCTTGGCAGACGAAGTGGCCAAAACAATCTCGGGTTTGCCCGAGAATGCCACGGCCATTGGAGCCGCTTCGTTCGCTTTTCGCACCATTCGAACAAAGGCGATAACTCCTGCACAAGAAAAGGCTGTTCGTGGGTGTTTTGTGGCGTGCAACACCCACACAGGCCGGCATGCAATGTCACGTATTCTTTTTGCATTTGTCTTATTTCGCATGTCTGAGTGTCTAGCTAGCACACAAGCGCGTCTTCAAGCTTCCATGAAATCGGTTCTGAACTGCCGTCCTATGAGCTGCGTAACGAAGTTCACCAGGTTGGGAAACCTTCGATGCTTCCACCCGAATTTCCGGGACGGCGGTTTCTCCACCGGTATATACACCAAATAATGCACATGATATGTGACATATACAGTATACAATATAGAAATTGATATAGATATGCAAGATCAGCTGTCGAGTGTTCGGGGCTTCGGTGGAAGGAGTCTGACGCCCTCTAACTTCTTACGATGGTTGCTCTGAACACTTCGCCGTTGCCGTTGCCCACGAAAGCTCGGATGAGGACAGGCGGCTCCAGGTAGTACGAGGAGACTCCCCTTGTGAAGCAACCTGGAAAGGAATAAGTGCGACGGCACTGACTGTGATCCGACACATAGCAGCTGCACTGCGCCTGCACAGTTCATCCTGTCGGTGAAGACGCGTAGCGACCCGGCGACAGTCATCCTTTTCCTGTGCAGGTGCTTCTGTGCACTGACCTTGCAGCAGGGCCCTTCAGCTGGCCGCTCATCCCGGGCCTGTTCGGTCGCAAGGGCAACTTCCGGACAAAGCAAGAACCTGGGCTCCAGAGTGGCCAACTGGCCAGGAAAAAACGAGACCCTCCATACAAAAGGGGGCCTTAATAAGGATTTTGGGGCCCTTTATTACTTCATTATACTTCAATACTATTTTGAGTGTTCCATATTAGATTATAATATGGAACACTCAAAATAGTATAGGTAATTATTTGAAACCCTCCAGGGACTGAACTTGAGTGCTTCTTCGGCGCCTCGATTCACTCCGGGGATGCCGAGGGTGTGGTTCAAATGGGTCGGTAACCTGACACTGGGTCGGCGACATCGCCATGACATGAGTTTCCGATAATAGGGGACCAAATATAATACCCTCAATAGTCGAATCCCTATTATAAGGACCCCAAAAATGAGGTACCCCCACTTTCGGAAACTCCCACATGACGTCGGGAAAACGGGCCACGCACAACTGTTTGGGATTGTTTCTGATTCTGCACTGCTATTCCCTGCGTTTTCGGAACTCGCACTGCGCCCGCTGCCGCTACTTCGCGCTCGGAGCCGGAAAAAATCTCTTGGGTGAAACTCTGCTTTTCGGCTCCAAGCCCATTCCTGACACTACTGATTGAAGTTTGCCACACCATCTGCAAGAATCCGAAACCCTAAAGGCCCGACCCTCCTGCCTTTCTTCCTTTACCCCGTTCCGAATGCATCTTCCCAGGTTTAGGCCAGGGCGAGTCATCTTGGAGCACAGGCATGGTAAGACCCTGGAGACCTGGCAACAAAGCCCATAAAACCCCATGACTCGTTGTCTTAACGATCCTGAAACCTTTTTTCGACGACCCTTAAAAACCCTAAACCCTAAACCCCAGCCCGGACTCCGCGGACCCAACTTCGAAACGGCCATGCCTCGTCCACCCTGCTGGCATCCTCGAAGCGACAGGCTTCGGCTAAGGGCACAAGAAGGTTTGGAGCTTAGAGGCTTTAGAGCTGAAGGGTTGCAGGGACTGTTTATGATAAGAACTTTCAGTTTCTTTAACTATGTGTATTGTGTTCACAGGGAGTCTAGGCTGCAGACTACAGTGCTTGAACAGTCGGGCTTCTTCAAGGCTTACTGGGTCCATGCAGGGTTTAGGGCATAAGGGTACAGGGCGAAGGTTCACTTGAGCATCATAATGAGGGGTTTAGAGTCGTTTGGATTTGGGGGATGCATAGCTGCTTCGATTTGCGGCTTTAGGAAAAGCGAAACATCGTCGACGGTGCGATAGGTCTCACTCAGTCGTTAGTTACAAGCATGTCGGCAGACTGTCGTCACAGATAACAGTCTTTGAATATTGGCGCAAACCCTAAACCTTGAACCCAAGTTCCAAACTGCTAAACCTGCCAAGAGTCGAGAATTCACTCGGCCCGAACAGCGCGCAAGTGAAGTCTGCCTGCACAGCCAGAAGCACGGCAATATAGGGGCCTTAATAATTAGAGCAGGGTTTTTTGGGCCCATTATACTATAAGTATAAAAAGGAACCCCCCGAAAAAGAATTTGTAATTATTTAGAAATTTAGGCCCCTCTATTCTCTTGGATCTTGTTTTGGGGTCAGCCCTGAGATTGCAACAGCAGCAAGAAGCCTTCACCATCTGTCCATGCTGCAGATTGGCTGGCATGCTCTCCATGGCGAAGCCTGTCTCCGTTATGCGACGGGTCTTGTTCAAACTTCACTAATGTCGGAACCTGATTAAGAAACCTTGGGCCTTTATTCGGGCTCCTTATATGAATCCCATTTTTGGGGGGTTATGAGGCCCAGGGTTTCTTAATCAGTTTCCTACATTACTCTCAACGACGTTGCAGCGCAGGTTTTCAGAGTCTGGGCTGCGCGCCATTGCACAGCGATCTCCAGCCTCGGATGTGAAACTGGCAAAGGTTTCGAAAAGCGCAGGTGCCGCAGAGGGTTATTTTAGGGACTTATAAGTACCATAACCCCAATTAGGGTCCCCTTTAGGGTACTTATGGCTGCGCAATCATACCAGGCCACTTGTGGCATTCAGGCATGCATCGCGGCATCTGTGCCAATCAGCATCGGGAGTGCCAGGAGTGTGCGGCCTAGCGTACGAAGACGACACCGCTAAACAAGAATGGAATGGCAGGAAGCCTGACGAAGACGTTCCTGATGGCGCTGTTGGGATAGCTGCTTGAGAGAGCCTGCGGGACAGGAGCCAAGATGGTGGGGAAGGAAGTCTGCTTCACTGAAGTTGCGCCGAGGTTGCGGGGGGATTGGAATGAGAGAGATGATGAGCTGATTGGCACGTCCTTCCCCAGAACTGAAACCTTCACACCTGCTGCCACCGGCATCACAAAATGAGGATTACCCTCACCATCCTCATCGTCATCATCAGCATCGTGATATCACTCTCGACATGACCACATCAATGATACCGGGCACATCCGGAAGAACAAACTCTGACTGGCTCGGACCCTGCAGTTCCAGCTAAAGCCGAATCAGCCGACCTTGGTTGAGTAAAGCTATCCGCAAGATATGGCCCCCCGAACAAAACGGGAAAGATGCCTTATGAAATGCGTATGTAGGGGATTGGGCCTTTATAGTATCGTCATATATTCTACGGAACCCTAAGGAATGATGCTCGACGGCAGACTAGCTTGCAACGTGAGCCGTATCCTATCTTGGCTAACTACACCCATCCCGCGGCCTCGCCGCATTGCACTTGTCGAAACACTTTGTCTGGTTCCTGGTCGGGAGAACCCAGCGCACGATCGCTAGTCAAAACTATATCTTTCCGATAGATCTGGATGCCATGTAAACTATAATCACCACAGCCCCCCTTCCGCGAGTGCAGTCCGGCACGTCCACGGCGGGACAGGCGGCGTAGAGGATGCAGTTATATCTTTGACCGCTATCCTCGATGATGTCGCCTTAGCTCGGAAGCACAGGCGCTCTCGGGCTCCAGGTGTGCAAACAGCTCTTGCAACGACGTCGATCAGATCAAGCTTCTCTCACCGTAGAAGGCGTAGTTGCAGCCGGTCTCCGCCTGGTATCGCATCACAGGCTGGGAGCTAAACCCTAAACTCCTAAACCCCAAAACTCCTAAACCCTAACAAACCCTAACCCCAGAACAGTAAAAACCCCTTAGGCCCTAAACCCTAAACCAAAGGGGGCCCCAAGGTCGGTGCACCTCACAGAGCTGCTCGCAGGCGCGCAAACTCTCCGCGCTGCTTTTTGCCAGAGGCTCCCCATGGCAGCCCTCGCCGAAGCCTTCCAGATCGGTGCCTGAATCGGGGCTCTCACAGAATTTAGGGTTTTAAGGGGGTTTAAGGGGGTTTAGGGGCTAGGGTTTAGGGGGTTTCGGGTTTTGGGGCTTAGGAGGTTCCACGGTAAAGTTTCTATCAATGGTTACTAAGTACAAGGGAACCATCGCGTTTTTGGGTTTAGGATCTCGTGTGCTATAAAGTCTCTATAATTAAGGTTACTACAAGGGTACGTACTGTAAGGTTGCGATACTTACAGTAGAAGGCTTCCATGGCACTAAAATTTGCGTCGGGGATTCTTCAGGCAAGGTCGCTTGTTAGCGCAGTGATCCTGCAAACAACTTCTCTATCACGAGCAGCCCCCTACCATCGCACCTTTATGGAGACTCAACTCATTATACACTCACCAAAGCCCTCATGAAAACCCTGCCCCTACTTCATACAGTCTGCACGCCTCCCACGTCCCGCCAGACTCGGTGGCCGCCGTTGGAAAGCAGAACCTGGCGAAGCAACAATAATGGGCGGGCGACTCGGATGTCTCGTTGCTTCTAATTCAACACAACTTGTGCTTCGCCCACCCGTGCTGCCAAGCCGCCGGCAAGCTATCGTAGAGGCACAGGGCGCGCTCCTTGGTGTTTAGTGCACTGCAAAGCTGCTACGCACACCATGGAAAGAAGACCACATGACCGCAGGACCTCTTTGCAATTGCAGCCTTGAGGCGAAGCGCAGGTCTAGCCAGCGGTTCGGAGGCCACCAGCCGTTGGTTTCCGGCGACCAAGTCTCTGCCAAGCAAACCTGCTGCAGCTCCTCACCTGGGGCTTTATTTTCTCAGTTTTGTGCCCCATTCCGACTCAATCAAGATCCGCATGACTATTGTCTGCAGGTCTAAGTGAGGTGAGAAGCGACATCCCACACCACACGGACAGGCAAATTCAGAACCAAGACCCGCAACAAGCACAACCGCTTGCGTTGGGTGGCGGCGGCGCAGCGTTCACAGCAAATGCAAACGGTTACGGAGTGGTGCTGCAACGTTGATGTACTGTACCTGTAATGGCAATGTAGTGGTACCGTAATGGCAGTGGTGATGCACTGGTTATGTAATGTAAATGGAGATATATTAGTACTGCAGTCGTGATGGTGACGGTAACACTATTTTCTGGTACTTGTAGTGTACTTGCAATGAAACATCAAACTACAGGCTTTATGAAACATCACGTCATGCCATGCAATGCAAAGCCAATGGAAGGGCAAGTCAATGCAACGTATGGATGCAGGCAGGCACACAACGCAGTATGCATGCACGCATCGGATCTACATATGTCAATGCTAGATAATCAACGTATGTACTTACCTGCTTATCTATTCGTATTGCTAAGTATTTTGTGCAAGTAAGCATACCTGGAAAGCGTCTCACAGAGATGTCGCTGAGGTTGGCGCAGTCCTCCTGGAACAGTGGCTCCACTTCCGGCTCGCGGATGAGGTCCTTAATTGCTCTTAGCTCCTCGCACCTTCGCACTTCTGCCGCCTTCTTGCGAACAAGGCACCACATAGACGAAGCCATCCCTGAAGTGGCATTGGGGTGCTTAATTCACCCTGTCACCGACCACGAAATCCGACGTTGAACGTCAGGGGCTCGGGGAGCACGTGCCAATGCATATTATACTCTACACAAAAATAAGTACACAAAAATAAGGAACCCCTCGAAGAGTATATGTGATTATTAGTAAGGCCCGGGCGGGCCGCTGTGGCACGCGGTCTCGACCTACCAGCAGCTCTCGCGAGGCCATCTGTTAAGGGTTTACAATTAGGGGCCTTAATAATTAGAACAGGCTTTGGGGGTATATGATACCATAATTATAATAAGGAAACCCCCAACATAGTATAGGTAATTATTGAGGCCCCTACATTAGGGTGTCTGTGACAGGCTCAGGGGAACCGCCCCGAACCTGAAAAATCCTGCCTGCTCAAAGTCGATGGGCAAGTGCTTTGCCAGAAGTGCGTTCACTTCGGTCAAACTGCCAATCCTCGGAAGTACCATAGGGGCCTTAATGATTAGAATAAGGTTTTGGGGCATATAATACTATAATATGTAATAAGGAACCCCCAAGTAGTAGTAGTAATTATTTAGGACCCACGAGCAGCAGTCTTAAAATCATGATCGGAAGCGAGGCTTACCCTTGCAGGCCCAAAAGGGCTTCGGATTTGCTGTCTAGGGCTCAGGATTTAGGTTTGGAGGTTAGAGCCTTAGGGTTTGGACTTTAGGGTTTAGGGTTTAGGGTGTAGGGCTTGGGCCTTGATGCAGCTTTGGCGCTTCCTCAGTTCCATGCCCTTCGGTATGACAGAGTCTCCGCCACGGAAGAAGCCTTTCCAGACAAGCTTCGTGCCACGGGCTCTTGGAAATCCGAGAAGACATCCCATGATCTGGACATGAAATCTCTGTGCAACCAACATATCGATACAGCGGGTGTATCTGCACATACAGGAAAATGCAGATCTTCATGTCTTCATGTGCATGAACAGGCAGACACGCAAATTTGTAAAAGAAGAGGAAGAGAGAGAGAGAGAGAGAGAGAGAGAGAGAGAGAGAGAGAGAGAGAGAGACTGAGAGAGAGAGAGAGAGCATATATACATACATACATGCATACATACATACATACTTACGTACGTACATACATACATATGCACCAACGAAAGTGCAGAAAATACATCGCGCGTACTATGGCCAGCAGGCGTGGCTTGTTTTGTCTTGCGTCAAAGGAGCGGGGAGATGATACCGTCGGAATAATCCCGCTGTCCTGCGTGACGTACTTCACGTCCTGTGTCGGGTTTAGAGTCCAGGGCTGCTCAGGGAAAACTTTGCTGTTGCCTAAAGGGAATGGGGCAATGGATCAGTAGTCCCTATATAATCCCCAGTACTAGTCCCCAAAATCCATTCCCCCCTTCCCTACCAAGAGCCAGACAGTTATGGCATCGCGGTCGGTGGGGTTAGGGCATCCGGGATGCTGGGTTTCGGGCATTTAAGGGCGGTGCTTTTTGGGGCTCAGGGCCCAGATTCCCCGGGCCTTGGACTTGGCGACGGAGGTGTAGAGCGGCACCTCCCTGAATGAAAGTATGGGGCTTAGGGCTTAGGGTCTAGGGTCTAGGCAGTTGCACTCAGCTCTGAAGTCTCGGCTTGCGGAACATCAGAAAAAGCGTGGACTGCAAGACCAGACAGCCATATATTTAAACACACACACACACACACGCACACATACAGGCATGCACACACGCTATGCATGCATATGGAAACAGGAAAGCGAGAGGCAAAGAGAAAAGATGTGCTGTGTGCATGTGTATAAATATATATGTATACATACATATACATATATATATACACAGACAGACACATGAATGCAAAGTCCCAATAAAGGCAAGCTTCTTCAGCAGGTTGAACAGCGTCGGAAGCTGGTCACACCTTGACAGCAAGTTGGCTTCGGAGCTCTTTCCGCATACCTGATCTATTTCCATGTCTAGCGTCTCACTGCCACAAACTGCCGAGGCACTCCACGGCCGCTGATGCTTGCTGGTACTCTGCCTGGTCCGGGCCTGATTGCAACAGATGGAACAAAGCACGAAGCTTGAATGGAAGCGTCCCGGCCTGACTGCGACAGCAACAGTGGACTCGGCATATTGTCTTGAAATGCTCAGGCCGCGGCTACAGTAGTCCGAATGCCTTCCGTACTTCCATGTCGCTAAATCACGGGAAAACTTATGACTGAGATTTCGCTGCAGCAAAGCTTTGCCACTGAGGACCATGCTGACCACAGAATACAGCGAACGCGTGACACGGGTCAGCGGGAGGCATCGGTAAGCGCTACTTTGCGCAGTCCGAACAGAATCAGAGTTGCACCCATCAGAGCTGGACCCATACGAGACCAAGGGATTTTTGGGCCGTAAGCTTAACGTTCCCTGTCTCGACTGCCTCCAGTAGTAGTCGCAAAACCGCTGGCCATCGACACCTGAAAAGCTGCGTATGTGGGATGCATCCACGGAGCTTGCTGGAGCCAACTGCACTGCTCTGCTGCATGAAAGAACTTGAACTGCATTACTACTGTTCGAGCGTTACCAGTGGTGCTGCGTCCACAAATCTTCGCTCCGTAGTCCGGAATATAGATGCCCCTATCACCACTATTGCTTCATGTTTCTCAACTATGGCCCTGGACATCGCTGTGGCTGTGATGATGATGATGATGGTGCCGGTGCGGGCGCTTTTGGTGGCGGCGGCGATGACAAAGATGCAGACAGGCTTTCATTATTTGCTGGAAGCCCTCAACCCCAAAAACCCTCAAGACCCCGCAGTCCTAACCCCTAAACCCCTCAACTGTCAACCCGTAGCCCCTAAACCTCCCTAAGTCCGCAACCCCCAAACTTCCGAAACTCGAAATTAAAAACCCTGAACCCCTGCAAACCAGTATCGGTAGAAATCATCGATCCGCGAATTTCGTCATTTGTGCGCCTTAATCAGCTAGCTAAGGATCCAGGCGTCGCTCTCGCTCCGATTGTCTCCGACCCTAAACTCTAAACCCCTAAGCCCTAAACCTCTAAACCCCTAAACCCTAAACCCCTAAATCCTATAAAACCCTGCAAACCCTACATCAGAGCCCCCTGCAATTGGCAGACTCGGGATCTGAGGGAACCAGAGCGCCCCTGAGCTCGCGAAAAGATTCTCGGGGTTCCTTTGAGGTTCCTATACGGTAAACCCCAGAAAGTTGGAACATAGATTTAGGATGATTCATGCTGGGATTCTCTATAGGGCATGAGGCTTAACTTATGATGTTGCAACTTTCTGGCTTCTACTGTAATGGTGTGGGGGTTTAGTGGGTTGCTTTGATGGTACCAAGCAGGCTTTAGGGTTCAGGGATTGGGGTTTGAGGGTTTCAGGCTGAGGGCTTTTAGGATTTAGAAGTTTCAGCGCTGTAGGGTTTCAGGTCAAGGGTTTTTAGGGCTGAGGGTGTTTATTGCTTCTGGTCAGATTTTGACGAAGGGTTTGGGTCAGGGTTCAGCTGATCTTGGAGTTCATGCATCCCAGCTTACATTTTAGGACTTCTGCTTCCTGTCTAGGTGTTGAGGCTTCTGCCTTCTTAAAGGTGTTGGCTTCTCCGATTCAGATTGTATGTTGGGGTCATGCCTGCAGCTTGACTTGTCGAACTTCACTGCCACCGAAGCAAACAAGCAGATGTTGAGGCTGGGGTTGCGAAGAAGTCACTATGATTAAAAAGACTGATTGTAACACGAAACGAAATCATGACAATAGTAAGCATAACACTAGGTCGCTACGCGATTATGGCAATGCCAAAATAATGCGCTGAACCCAAAATTTTAGACTGCTATGCCCTAAGCCCCCCCAAGCCCTAATCCCACAACAAAGCCAGGATGCTCTGCGTAGGCCTCCTTGCCATAGAACCTCGGGAAAGCCGCGCTGGGGCGAAGACTCAAAGGCTTGTTCCAGTCATTTTCGGTTTGGGTTCAAAAGCCTTGTTTCTTGAACGCCTTTTTCCATCCGCCAGATCTCTAACATCTAGACCTTATGGCTCTTGTTCGTGAGCAGAGTTGGATTCAGAACAGCACTTGTCGAACCTGAAGGAAGTCCTCAACCCAGAGGTATCCATCATCGGACATAGGGTTTCTTCGAGGCCAGGATGCTGATCGTTGTCGACCTTCCAGCTGCAACCTTTTCGCTTGGTCCTGATTGGTGCTCTGCGGGCGAACTCAGTTGCTGCCAGTCGACAGCGCATCACCAAAAGCTGAGGCGTGCACGTGCACACCGGCGTTAAGTGCACCGAGAAGTTCAACATTGCCAGGTACTCGTAGAGGGCCCCTAGTGTTCCCAACACCTTGCTCGAGCTACAACCCCCATGTCAGCAGCAGTGGTTTGCAGCCCTGTCTTGCAACATTGGAGCGTCTCACTCGTGCGGGTGTACGGCACCAGGGTTTTCACAGGAGCACAGCGTTCTCATTCCCAACTTATGGTGCAAGCTGACTAAAGCAACAGCATGCAACAGCTCTCCTACTCGTGCAACCCAAGCGACGCCCAGAAGGGTGGCTGTCCTAAGTCGACAAGCAACTGTCGCCATTAAGGACCTGCTGCAGCTGCAACTTGCCTTTGAGAGCAAGCTGTATGGACGCAAAGCATCCAGCTTGACATGTAGGGCGTGCAATGAGGGTCCCTCCATTTCCTGAAAAAAGGGTCTCTCTCTCGTTTCTGATACTCCCATCACCGCAACATCATCTGAGTTCTCAATCAAGCAGTTGCATTGGTGCTGCTGCGAATCCGACTGCCAAGTAGGTGCTTCGGCCCGCCTCCTTTGGCCTCGAAGCGGGTACCAGCATTGTAGTATCATAACACTACTAATAAAACCATGGTAATAACAATCATAGCAGCAAGAAGCAGTAAGATTTATATAGCCTTCCTACTCCTACTCCTACTCCTGACTACTCCTACTGCTACTGCTACTGCTACTGCTGCTACTTCCTGCTGCTGCTACTACAGTATTACTACTACTATTACTACTTATTTCCGTTGGCATTGCTGTTATTGCAATTACTGTTGTTCTTATCGATGCCTGCTAGTATCCCTTTTTCCATTGTCACTGTAGTATTGTTGTGATTTCTGGTATACTATACTGTAATTATGAGGAGACTGTAAGGCATGCTAGTCGTAATTTTTCCGACTTCCATTTTCGTGCCTATGGAGCAGCAGGTGCCGCAGCGGAGCAGTAGGAGTCAAAGGAGAAGCAGTGGTGGCAGGAGCACTGCCGCAGTGAAGTCGCAGCAGCAAGACTTTCCTGTTGGACTCTAGTGACTCTAGTGACTATACAGTACACCGTCTAGTAGAAAGTGTAAACCTTGACGCACATCATGCTTGCCACCGAGACCTTCCAAGACAACGTAATCCCAGAGGACCTCTTTGCCCTCAGTGGCTCAGCCCGACGTGTATGAGCTACTCACTCCTCGTTTCTTTTAGAAGCCACTTCGTGGTACCATTACTCCTGTGTATCCCTACAGGAGCCCCGTGAAAGCCCGACAACACGATTCTTCTAATCATGAGCGTGGTCCGGCCAAGCCTGCTCCTCAGCCGCACGAGATTTCTCTTGAAGCACGGATGCCGAGTCGCCTGCGTCATTGGAGCAACATGCGACGAGTTGCATTAAGCCCTGCATCTGTTGTGGCTTCACTTGCTCGCCTGCTCTTTGCTGACTGCCTGCACATCTGAGCAGCGATTGCTGCGATCATCGGGACAGCGATGGTGGTGCTGGAAATATTGGCGCTGACGCTGGCGGTTCGAGGGATGGCGATAATGATAGTGATGGCCAGGACTGGCGATGGGGATGATGATGACGACTGCAGTGGTGGTGATGGTGATTTTTGCTCTGATGATGGTGGTAATGTCGACGGCGACTGTAGCTGTGAAAGTGCTCAGGAAGTATAGTGATGTTGCCGCAGCAGCCTCATAGAGCTACGATAAAGTTAGTCTGGACCAACATGGAACTGACGCTCTGGTCACTGGTGAGGATAACGAGCCCCGGATGAACACCTTTGTAAAGAAACCTTTCAGATGGCTCTTCTGACGATGATGATGATGATGATGATACTACTGCTGAAGGCGGAGATGAAGATGAAGCTGCTAGGTCCGGTGCTTACTGCCTTGTGCTGGTCCAGTCACGAGGCTGGCAGTGAGGATGGGGAGAATCAGGAAGAAGAAGAGCCAGATTTATCCGATTATCCCTCTTCTGAGTGCCACCATCCCCCCCACATCCGCACAAACTACTAATTTGGGGGGGTTCTTCATTAGGATTATAGTATAAGGGCCCCCAAAACCCTAGTCTGATTACACAAACTTGCTCCTGCCATGGCTGTAGGCAGCGCAGAAGCGGGGCCGACGCAGTTGGCATTCGGTGCTGTTCGCGGCAGGCCCGTGGCCAAGCCTGGAAGCTGAGGAAATGAAGGAAGAATATAGCGGCCTTAACAAACAGACTAGGGTTTTGGGGGCCCTTATACCATAATTCTAATGAAGAACCCCCAAATTAGTACTGGGAGTCGAGGGCCCTGGAATTCAGGGACTTTTAGGGCAGGGGCGCGGAAGACACCCCCCTTCCTGCTTCATTGCAGCTGGGAGGCTCACTTCATCCTCGGCTGTCTCCGCCTACTGCCTATTCGTGAAAGGCAAGTACACGCTCTTCTCATCCTCTCCCTAACTGTGACAAACGAACAGGTAAGCCAACACAACCTCCCCGGCACTGGAAAAGCCTGAAGTCTGCGCGAAGCTTCGGGATAGTACTTGGTAAATTCCAGCTTCAGTTCTCCGCGCTTCCGGCGACCGCAGAAGCCACCGTAATCCTTTTCACTGGAGCAGACCATGCCGCTGGAGCCCCAAGCCACCAAAGAACTCAGTAACGTGCGCATGAGACTCCTACTCCCCTGAGTCCTCTCTGGCATATACGGCAGCACACAGATCGCTCACCTCGGATCACCGGGTCTTGAAGAAACCCTTGCGTAATGACATGCTTTCATCGCAGCATCACAAGAGTCACAAGAGCCGTTCGACGAGAATGCACAAGCATGCCAGCCGTGTTTTGTTTGCGACCGCGAGGCTGCGAAGTGCTGTCGGTACGAGGATCCGCAGTCGAGGCCTTTCACTCTATCGCAGGGGTATCGCAGCGCGTTCGTGCTAGCAGATTGAGGCCGGAAGTTGCACACCCTTCAGAATCAGAAGACTGGAAAAAAATAGATTCTCGGGCCCGTGCGTGGGCGATGAGAGAACAGGTAGAGAGCGAACAGAAGAGCTGCAATGATGAGAGTTATCCAACCTGGCTGCAAGGACAGGCACTGTCACTGGCCTTGCTTTAGGGCTGAACCTACATAAAGTCTCCTGCTTCGCAACTTCTTGCAATCACGGAGCAGGCCATTTGGTAGTTGACTTCGTCCATCCTTGGCCCGATGGGACGTAATTACGACAGCGATCGCGAGCTGTTGAAACCAAAATCTCTGCCAAGAGAACGAAAGGCACTGACATTCCTAAGCTCTCCTTTCAAACAGCTCCAAACTCTGCCTTCCTGCCGTACGGGCTGCAGAGAGAAGATCTCCGCTCCTGAACCTCACAAACCGTCAAGTCTTCCACACAGGCAACTCGCGAAGAACAGCTCTTCCTGATCCGGCGAACACTATATCCGTGGCTGCATGTTGAATGCGACATGATTATGCAATATCATGTACTCCTGACTTTCAGTGGCAGTCGTCGCGGTAGTAGTAGTCGTCGTCGTCGTAGTCGTCGTCGCAGCAGTAGTCGTAGTAGTGGCAGCAGCCGCAGCAGCAACAGCAGCTGCAGCAGCAGCAGTAGCAGGATCAGGAGCAGGATCAGCGTAGCAGGAGTCTGTGTAGTAGTAGTAGTAGTAGTAGTAGTAGTAGTAGTAGTAGTAGTAGTAGTAGTAGTAGTAGTGGTGGTAGTACTAGTAGTACTATGTAGTGGTAGTGGTAGTAGTAGCAGCAGTAGTAATATTTGATTGCTTACCCGTACAAGTACATAGAAACACTTATATATGTGTGGGTGGGTATGCTTGTGCTATTACTGAAGTGTTTGTCGGCTGACTTACTTCCCCACCTGCAGACTCACTTGCTGCTTTTCGGCATGAACATGGCTTCTGCAGCCAAGCCTTGTGCTGCACCGATCAGAGTGATGGCCAGAGCCAAGGCAAAGAACAGCATCAAAGCCTGGAACAAGAAGCCTCCCACACCTCAGAGGTCAGAGGACCAAAAACACACACTTTTAACCATGGTGTAGCTGTCGAAGGGTCCGTTTCTAGGAGCTCCTGTCCCCCATGACCACGGGCTTCAGCCGAGCGTCTGTTCGGATCAGCCTGCCTGTGCCCAAGCTAAGCGGAGACATGACAGTGAAATCCGCACAAAGGCGCCACACATTCGTCCAAGTCGCTGTTTCTTGCCATACCTTGGCATGGCATGCTGTGTGGAATCCCTAAAGCTCTCGAATCTACTGCAATTGCCTCGATGCTCCAATCTCGGCACTACTTCAGCTTGAAATTCGCGGCTGTCTCAAACCGTCGTCGCATTATAGAAGCATGCATTATGCGGAAATACCGACCGGGCGGTAGAGACCCAAGAATGAATGAACCACAAAGATGGACTCCCATTCGCAATGCGACCAAAATGCGTGATCAAGCGGCCCTTCTTTGTCAGGATAAGGACACCTTCGGTTGGGCTTGACAAGTTGACCATAGCGCCATGATATCAATCGGGGAGCATCGGTGCAAGCAAGTCGCCGGTGTCGTCGGGTGGTCCTTGGAAAACAGTGGTCAATATCACAAGGGCAGTAGCAGACACAGCATGAGTAGCATCAGACTCCACGTACGATGATAGGTGGTACACCGAAACACATACTTCCCATGCAGGTGCGCACCTTGCACACATATACACTCACGGAGAAGTGGCATCGGCGAAATCATCACACAGAAAGCATGAAAGTAAGCACATGCCGGAATGTCGTGCGCAGGTGCTGCGGTGGCATGAACATAAATATACATGTACATAAATAAACATGCACATGCACATCATATGCGCCTACATACATACATCCATACATACATTCATTCATTCATTCATATCCTCACACACACACACATGCACACGAGACCGTAAATTTGAACATGGCCCTGATGGCAAACGATACCACGTTATGGTACGACCGAGGTAGAGCCATCCACACAAAGAGGTGGGAGCTGATGAGATCAGGATTCTCAAGCTCGCACGAGGAGTGCACTTTTCATGTGCAACTGTTTGATCCCAGAGCACTTCCACAGGAGCCACAATATCGGATTGTTGGAGTTAACACTATACGTCAGTCTGCAGTGACAGCATCTAGGAATCTAGGTGTCAAAACCTGCCCAACCACATCAAAATTCAAGCTAAAGATGCTAGTGCTGCCTCGTGTAGAGTCGTTGCTGCAACTGTTTCAAAACGTGGAGCACCGAAAACTGGTGACGCTCATGTATGCCACATATACCATAAGCTTGCAGACCGCATACGAACATGATGCAAACTACACAGCTACGTGCTGCTATGTGAATCCATTCAAACATGCATGCTAAATAAGTCATACCCACATAGATAGAAGCGTGCAGTAACATGTCATACAAAACGACAGTTATCACTTGTCTTTCTGCAGTCCAGGGCACGAAGAAACACCCAAGCACCACACGTCAGTACGGCATAAACCCACTTCTTCCAGACAGCGACCTCGCACAAATACCGATAAATAAGTAGAGGCATGAAGGCCCCGGCTCATTTTGCAGGCTGCAAGTAACAGACTTTTTATGCAAGATACTGAACGCCGACATTCCGCAACTGCGTCAAGAGTCGATATCCGATACCCTAAACCCTGAACCGATTCCTGTTCCTTTCTGCAAGCCAGCTGCCGTGTGGATGTGCATCCGTATAGCCGCCTCGACACCATCGCCGTCGCTTTTGAGATCATCGCGTGCGAAGCGATGCACCATGCTGGCGAGGAAAGCCCTGCGCAAAGCACGTTCCGACTTCGCTGGCACGGAACCTCGTGCGACCGTGTTTTAAGAATCTGCCCTCGCACACGGAAAGCACTTCCGCGCATGATTTCAATTCGCTGCATGTGCCTGCGGCCCGCTCAGGCGAGAAGTGGAAGGCAAGGGGGGGCATGATTGTAGCGCTGTAGCACGGAAATGTTGCTGCATGCACCTTTGCCTCCAAACCCTAAGCCCCCGAAACCCTGAAATCCCAAAGCCCTAAGCCCTAAACCCCCTAAGCCCTAAACCCCCAAAAGCCCTAAAACCCGGAAATCCCCAACACTAAACAACCCCCCTCTTCTTCTCGTCTCGGGCTCCTGTCTTCCAGCGTACCGAGGCAGGCTTTGCTTCTTTCTTCGTCGAAGTCCTCGGGGGTCTCCATGTCCGCATCCGTCATGAGCCTGGAGTTGGGTTTAAGGCGTACGGCTTCAGGGTTTCAGGGCTTTAGGGTTTTAGGGTTTAGGGCTTTTAGGGTTTAAGGCTTAGGGTTCAGGGTTTAGCGGGATACTGCCAACTACATGGGGGTGGGCAGCGGGGGTGGGGGTACTTTCCAGGAGTCCTTGCACTAGCAATCCTATACGCGGGCTTCCTTGTTTAAACCCAGCTGTCGGCTCTACTGTTCACATACTGTGGCAGGACTGTCATGACTACTCCGGACTGCAGACCGCATGTTGCAGCTCACTTGCAAGCTTAATCTTGTATGGGCACCATCCTACATCGCAAACCTCAACCTCTATCTGTAACACCCTTAAACCCCAAATCCTTAAAATCCTCTTACGCTAACATCCCGAAACTCGGAACCCTCAACCCCAAAATCCCAAACACGAAAACATGAACTCAAACCCTAAACCCTAAAACCCTAAACCTTATAGAACCTTCGTAGGTCTCCCATACAGACCCCTTAAGAGGGCCCCTTTCAGGATCCGGAACCCTAAACCCTCTCTCTTGCCTTTGGTTAGTAGGGAATGGAAGAATGGTAGTCATAGTAGTTATAATTGTACCCCATTCCTCCATTCCCTACTAACAAAAGGTAAGAAAACCCCCTCTGTAGCAGCCTGCTGCTAATGTCGAGGAGGAGTTTCCGCACACCTCTGTCCGAATCCTTCCTGCAAGGATCGTCTTCGGGGATGTAGGGTTGGGTTTAGGGCAAGTTTAGGGTTAGGGTTTAGGGTTTAGGGTTCCGATAGAAGGTTTTCATACACGGGGCCTTAACCATTAGAATAGGGTTTTGGGGCCCATTGTACTTATATTTATAATAAGGAACCCCCAAACTAGTATAGGTAATGATTAAGGCCCCTGTGTTAGGGCTTCAATAATGGATTTTGAGTTTAGGGCGGTTGGGTGGTTTTGGGGGTTGGCAGGTTAATCTTCGCGATCGGCTGGCTTGGGGCTTTGTGTTTCTCGGCTTCTCACGACTTGACATTTCGTCGCTCTTCGAAGCGCGCCTTTCTTTCTCTGACTCGGACTCGTCATCTGACTCCGTACCTCGCAGCAGAACGCCGTGCTCAGATCGATACTGCAAGGGTTACTAGAGTGATCTCTGCAGGGGGTACTACACGGTGTGCTCCAAAAGGATATCAGTCAGGCACTGCCTCACGCCTGAACCCCAATGCCAAAACCTGCAATCGAACCAGCATCCTGGCACAACTCACTTTCGTAGCTGCTGGACAGACTTGAACTCATCCTGGGCACGAACTCAAACCAGGGGAACAGGGTGGATATATTCCGCATATCGGAATTTCAAAACATCGGGGACCCTGATACAGAAACCTCAGTGATGGGTCCCTGAATAAACACGGCCGCTAGTTAAACAGTAATTTTACCCCCCCCCCCCCCGCCATTCTTGAGCCCTTTGAAGAGGGAAGCCAACGCAAACGGATCCATTGCAGCTGAAGGGCTAAGCGGGGCGTAAGTTCGCAAACCCCCAACCTGCGCTGCGCCAGCGCGATCAGAGGGAGAATCCGGCCGTTCCGGTTCAGGTCCATCCGAGACTTCCTCATAATCATCCTCAGCCTCGGTAGAACACAAGGAAGGCAATTCTTCGTCGAAACTCTGCAGTGGTGCAGAATCTCACGAGGCTGCCAGAGAGCATCAGCCTCGGCCATCACACTTGCTGCCTTGTTAAGTCATGGCGCGAAGGGCGGATGTCATCTAGGATTGTTCTTGTTTTGGGCATGTGCATGCGTGCGCTGCTTGCTTGGTCATGTTGCCCCACGACATGAGGAGCAAACACAACCTCATGCAGGATTGGAACTGCCGTCTCACAAGTTGCGTCTGTGTCGGAATCACCTGCGATGCATGCCGGAGTTTCGTGAACCCTTCCACTTTGACTTAGTACGTTCTCGGAGCCTGCCCTGCTTTACCCATGGCAACGCACCATGCCTGTTGAAAAACTGCAGCCGGAACAGCTTCAGCCGCCGGGATGCTGGTCGTTGAAGATCCCTTGTAGTCCCCTGTGTTATACTAGAACATATTCCCAAAACCTTCCTGTAGTTGTGTCACAGCTGGATCGAGGATGGAGCAAGATAATGCAGAAAGCCGTCTGCACACCAGCAGCTGCTCTGGCAAAAACTGTTCATTTGCGCACTTTTCCGATTTACATCAGAAGCGGACATGCTTTGTCCAACTTCTGTCACTGCAAACCGAGTTCGCCTATTGCCATGCGCCACAGCAGAACGAACGATTTAGCCACGGCGCTCAACAAATGGAGCTGGAATCACGAATGGTTTCACTGAAAAGGTCTCGTGCATTCAGAACGTCTTCTGTTCTGAGGAGACTGCAAGCGACTAGGTACATGAGGAGTCACGTCAGTCATGTCCCTGGAAACTCTGCCGGTGCTTCAAAACGTCTCTGGATGTCTCTGGCCCACTTCCGATTACGATCACCATCCTGAAAACAATAAAGATTTGTGCATGAGATGGCAATAAAGTGTCTTGTCCTGCTTAGCATCATGAACAATATCGTTGCAGGCAAGATCATGAGGATTATGGCAGCGAAGTCAGAAAGCTCAATCAGAGCAAAGAAGCCGAAACAGCACTACGAAGTGAAGGTCTAGCCTCATTGAATTCAACTTGATTTTTTCTTCACACTAAGTTCGGATCCAACATGGCTGCCACGCTTCGAGTGAAAACAAGCTACGAACTCAATGGCATG